TTGCTGGGTCATGTGGTTAAGTGTATATGCTTAACATTTTAAGAAACAAACTGCCATACTGTTTTCCAAAGTAGCTACATTATCATCAACACTAGACGAGGGTTTCAGTTTCTCCCTCTCCTTTCTTTGAATATTTTTAGTCTTTTTTTAAAAAAAATTACTGCTGTTCTACTGGGTGTGTAGTGGAATACCATTGTGGTTTTGTTTGCATTTCCTTAATAGGTAGTGATGATAAGCATCTTTTTGTGTGTTTACTAAGCATTCATGTACCATTGGTGAAATGGCTTCAAATGTTTAGACCATTTTTTAAAATTGTTCTTTTTATTCTTGAGGTCTAAGGGTCTTAATATGCTGGATATCATTTCTTTATCATGTTTGTGATTTGCAAATATTTTCTCCTTTTCTGGGGCTTCTCTTCTATCTAAATTGTGTCTTTTGAAGAAGTTGAAGTCCAATTTTTTTGTGCTGCTTTTTTTTTTGTTAATAGATTGCACTTTTGTTGTTCATATTTAAGAAATCTTTTCCTAACCTAAGGTCACAAGATTTTATTCTTATGCCTTCTAGAAGTTTTGGTTCTTTCTTCAAACTATGATCCATTTGAGTTATAATTTTTATTGTTGTGAGAGAAAGGTATTAATTTATTATGTATGTGAATATCCAACCAGTCCAGCACCATTTATTAAAAAGACTATTCTTTCCCTATTGAATTGACATGCACATTTGTCAAAAATCAAATGACTATGAATGTTACAGTTTATTTTGGATTCTCTGTCCCATTTGATTACCTATGTGTCGATCTCTATCTATACCAGTCTCACACTGTGTTAGTTATTACAGCTTTATAATACATTTTGAAATTAGGTAGTTGAAGTCCTGTAATGTTAATCTTTTTCAAAATTGTTTTAGATATTCTAATGCTCTTACACTTTCACATATATCTTAGGATCAATTTCTACAAAAAAAAAAAAAGCACAATGAGATTTTGATATATCAATTTGGGGAAAATTGCCATCTTTACAATATGAGTCTTCCAGTCCATGAACATGGAATGTATTTTTATTTAGATCTTCTTTAATTTCTTTAAACAGTATTTTGTAGTTTTCAATGTACAGGTTTTACACTTCTTTTGTTAAATTTACTCTTAAGTCTCTTATTCTTTTTGCCACTATCGTGAGTAGAATTTAAATTTTTATTTTTGGATTATTCTAGTATATAGAAATGCAGTAAATTTTTGTATGTATTGCAGGATCTTGTATCCTGCAACTTTTCTAAATGTTCTTATTAATGTTAGTATTTTTTTTGTAGATTCCTTAGAATTATCTACATACAAGATAATGTTGCCTGCAAATAAAGGCAGTTATAACTTGTTTTTCAATCTACATGTCTTTCTATTTCTTGCAGTGAGTAGACCCTGGTACAGTGCTGAATAGTAATACTAGGCTAGAATAGACATCCTTGCTTATTTCCCAGTATTGGAGGGTGAAGCATTCAGTCTTTCTCCATTAAGTATGGTGTTGGTTTTAGGCATTCATCCCAGAAGGGAAGTGTTCTATTCACATTAAAACAATCAATTCATGTTATATGCTTTATTCATACAATAACAAACAAGAACCACATGAGTATCTCAATAGATGAAGATTAAAAAAAATAAAAGAAACAGATAATAAATGAAATAAGGAGTTTAAACAAAGTAAGAGGTAGATAAGGAAAAGCTTCTCTGAGGAAATGACATTTAAGCTGATATTTAAACAGCCTGAAAGCCCCGTCAGTCAGCACTTGGGATTGCCCTTGTGGTGTTCACTTCGTCATTCCAACACCTAGCACAGTGCCTAGTTCCTAAAATGTGTTTAACTAACAAATGAAGTTTTGTGTCTTGCTTTCTTCACATCCTAGTCTAATCATTTTACCGTGTCTGTCATAAAATATTTTGAAAAGGTACATTTTAATGATGGTATAATATTCTACAATGTAATTATAACCAAGTTATTGAAATGTTTTCTTATTCACAGACATGCTTCCTGTCTTCATGATTCAAAACACATCTGGCACATTGAGTTTCATTGGCTTGGATTTAAGGCTAATTTGCCCACTTATTAATATAAGGCAGTTTTTAAACATTAATCTGAGAGAGTAGTTTATTTTATATTATATTTTGCTGATTTTATTTAAATGTTATTTTTATACTTCATGTGATTATATGTTTAGTTGAAAAGGGTTAAAACTGCTTTAATATTAAAGACCAACCATTAAAACAAGTTTTGAGTGTGAAAAATATCAGCCATAAATTGTGAACTCTGGAGATTTTTAACTCTTTACATGGAAAACATAGACTCTTGAACTTCATGTACCATTGCCAAGTGTTTTGCACTACCTGGATTGAGACCATTGCAGGTGGATAGTACTAGAGAAAAGTCAAGATTTATGTTCCTCGGAACTGCCAAGGCCCGTCTTTGTTTCGAGGAAAATATGCTAGTGTTTGAATTTGACTTTAAATTCTTAATAGTTTTGTGATTTGGAGTAACTTAAACTCATTTTATTCATCTATAAAATGGGGGTGTGATAATAGTCATTGCATAGGGTTGTTTCAAAGATTATGTATGTAAAGGGCTTACTTAGCACAATGTCTGACACGTAGTAACTGCCCAATAAATGAGAGCTATTACCTTTACGTCTCATCTAGTCCTGGAAGTGTTAAGAGTGGTAGCTGTAATGGTTCCATATACTTCAAGATGTTATCAGCAGATACCAACTCATTAATAATGTCCTTCTCAAGATGTTTACATTTACTCTTGTCAAGTCAGTCATTTTCTTCATTGAATATGCCTTGTTTGAAGACTCTTGCTTATCTGCACACATACCAAAAAAAAACAAAAAAACGGCCCAAAAGTTAGTATTCTAAGTATCATTAAGTTAGATTTTTTGATATCAATTTGTAGGTCACTATTCATAAATTAGTTATGATTATTTCTTTTTTTCAACTTTAAAAGGTAATACTTTTTTATTTATCAAGAAGGAAAATTAATTGAAAGCCAAACAATTAAATTCTACTTGAATTTCAGTGGTTTAGTAGGTAATGTAGACAAGGGATAGGGTTTGCTTTGGGTACAGCTTCTGAGGTTGGGTGCTGGGGATTTAGAAAATTCCCAAGGCCCCTGGCGCATTTTAATAGGAATACTAATATGATTTGCTAATATGATTTGCAAATATGATTATTTTTAAGTTTATGTGTAAATTAATGCCTTCTAGTTATAAATAATCAGTGACTGTTCCCTACTCCTCTTCGAATTCTTGTCAGAATATATAGTCAAGGCCCAATTTGAGTCCAGAATGTATAATTTGGGGCCATGGCACTTACCCAGCCCTGCACATTGCCTGTTTCCCCTCTAGAAAATGGGATAATGTGGTTTTTGCTCATTTCACTGAGTTATGAACATCAAATTAGGTCATATCCATGAAAGTGCTTTGTAACTGGTAAAGCATGTAGTTTACTAATTATTATTCCAGTTCATCCTGTCAGATCTGCTCTTTTCTCACAACTGTTTGATAGGTTGTTTGTGGGGGGTGATGCAATAGTCCAGAATTCTGTAATGTGTCCTACCTCTTTAGGCACGCTTGTTTTATGTTTGTACTAGGGAGTGGACAGTTGTGGACTATTGCTTTTTTCGTCCTTTAATTTGTCCTTTTTTATTACAAAAGTAACACGTTTATTTTAAAGGAACTAGCAAAATACAAACTAGCAAAAAGGAAAAATAAAAATTACCTCTAAATGCAGAAATAATTGCTACATTTATTTTTGTATATTTTTGAAACAAAAATTCAATTATACTGAACATACTGTGTTTCCTGTTTTTATCATTTAATATGTAATAAGTTATGTGGAATGATATACTATAATTTTCTTACATATTTTAATGACTACCATAATTAGTTGCAGACTTTTTTATTTTGACACTTAATGGCTGTTTGAAATTGTTTACTATTAGAAATAATGCATATACTAACAATCTTATGGCTAAATATTTGTACATACCCTCATTTTTTTATTAGGATAAATCCTAGACTTAGAATTGCTACATAAAGGAGTGTATAACATTTTAGAAATTTGATTTTTTATAGCTTTATTGGGGTGTAATTGACATATAATAAACTGTACATATTTAAGGTTACAATTTGATAAGTTTCGACATGTTTACACCCTTTCTCATCACATGATTAAGATACTGTTCTTTTGTATTCCCTCCTTCCTGCCCCTTCTTACCCCTCCATCCCCAGGCAACCGCTGATCTGTTTTCTCTCCCTGTTGATTAATTTGCATTTTCTACAATTTTATGCAAATAGAATCACACACTATGTGATTCTTTTTGTGTGGTTTTTTGCACTCAGCATAATTTTGTAATTTATCCATGTTGTTTATATCAGTAGTGTTTCCTCTTTTCTTGCTGAATAGTCAATGTTCCATTGTATGGACATACCATAATTCATTCACCTATTGGTAGGCATTTGAGTTGTTTCCAATTTTTGGCTGTTAAAAATAGAGCTGCTTTGACATTGGTGTACAAGTCTTTCTATGGATGTAGGCATTTGATATTTATTATAAATTTTGTGCTGAAAAGATTACATAAACATATTGAAACAAAAAGCTTAATATGAAAGAAACTATAGCTATTTTTTCTTTTTAAAGATGTTTTAATTAATTTGGTGGAAATTTGAAATTAACAAAGGTTAATAAGCATATCATCATAGCAACTATAAACCTTTTTTACAGTTTGTTTTCTTGAAGCATCTACTTTTATCAAGTTAATGTATTGTTTAGAAAGCAAAGATCTGTTGCTTTCCTTTAGTGAGCAATTTATATTTCATAAACAATTCGTATTTCTGTCAAATGAAGACTTCTACATTGACAAGAAAAAGATACTGAGAAAACCTGACAGAAGTTCGCAAAGCATATTCCAGAATCTGGTTTGGAATAGATGCCAAACTATGTTTTTTCTCTTCTTAAGATGCACCCTGGACTGAAGGAGGAGTGAGGAATCTGAAGACTCCAGATGACATCAGAGCTACTTTTCAACAGCCTTCTCGGTTTCCTTTCTCAGAAAGCAGAGACTCAAACCTTGGAGACAGACGGTGAGAATATTTTTCCTGAGTTTTTAAGGCTTAATGTGATTTTAATATATTTCAGACAATCCTTTCTTAGTTATAAATTAGCTTGTAATCACCAGATTTGTAGTTTGTGTTTTATCCGTGCAAATTATTTCATTAGGCAGTATGGTTTTTTTTAAGAAAGTGAGTAAGATACAATTCTATAGTTAAGGAACTTACAGGGATAAGTATAAATAAATAAATTTAATCAATAGTAGAAAGAGGTTAAATGCCATTAAAAAAACACAAAAAATATATTTTTGAGAATTCAAAGGTGTAGATTACTTCTAGAGAGAGTGGATGGGAATCTTGAAAAAAGAGGTAGTATTTGTGTTGATGATACTTTATTTTTACAAAAAAAAACAGAGAAAATGATAGTTAATGTTAATGGAAAACCTGAAATAATCTGATTTCAGATAAAAAGTTAATTATTGTTTTGAGGAAAAATAGAAGCATGTTTGGTTATTGTGGGTTTGTTTATTATAGTCTAAGTCAGTGGTTACTTTTTGAATTATATAAAGTAGTTACCTCTTACAAAGCAAGTAGTATGTTAGCATTTCTGAGAAATGATAAAATAATCTGATTAACACAGTGGGTGAGTAGTGCAACAGAAAGAGATGACTGAGTGGTTAATTCTACTTGGATTAACACTCTTGTTTTCTAGTATAGGTACAGCCTATAATGAATTTGTCATGTCTTAAGCTCTTGGACCTTATGCTGCATACGCCTGGGCAGAAGTACTCCAAGTAACTTGGGTAAAGACACAGTGATTGATTATTGTGCTTATCATTAGTTGTGAAGAGTTACTTTCAATTAGCTAGCTGAAAACTGGTCAGAAGAGAGATAGCAGATGGAATGAATACCCTAAACTTCACAGTGTTTCAATGGGCTATCATGTTGCAAAAGGGGAATGGCAGTTTTGAGCCAAATTTCTTCTTTACTGTAGGCATAATTTGGTTGGCACAGTGCTACTACCAACTCCCTTTTCTTGACTATTCTGGTTATTAAAAAACCTAGTGATAAAGTTGTGATTTCAATCATTGTACTTTTATTTTCATCACTCAGCTTATCCCTTCTTGTAATTTCAGCAAGAAAATCTTTAAAACATTGCATTTATTAAATAGACTATAAAATTATTAGTAATTATTTGGTTGCTAGTCATTCTTCACATATTCATATATTATTTTTCCTCTAAATTGAGATTTTAAGTCAACCATACTTTTGTTTGTAAATATTAAGCATTGTTTCATTCAGGTATAATTATGTGTTTATGATTGTTTGATAGTCCAAAATCTGCTTTTGTATTTGATGAAACACACGTGATATTGAATCCCAAGTCTCAACTTCGAATTTTGTTAAAATGGAAATTATAACCATACACATTCTTGTTACCCTGAAGATACAGTTTGTTGTTGTTCTTAATTTGTCAACACCCTTGTTTTACCAAGTAACCAATGGCAACTTATGACAGTTGGATAAATAAATTATAGATAGCCAGCTGGTAAATATACATAGCCAATAAGTTGTCCTTGAAAAATGATCAAATTTAGATATTTCTCCAAGATAGAAGAGTAGACAGATTATTTAGAATGTACAATGAACAACTGTGAAATATAAAAATGAATTATTAGTGATATGTCATTTACATATATTTTTAAATATTTCAAGATTTTGAAAGTGAATATGTTACATTTGTGTTTTGTTAAACAATTCTCCCCTTTGAATGAGGAGCCCATGGTCACATAAGTTTGGAGATGTTGAATCATAATATAATCCTTTCAGTAGGCCTTCCATTAGCCAGTAGACTGTCCATCTCCAAAAGGAGGATCTTGTATATAAATACACACACACACACACACACACACACACACACACGTATGTATCTTAAAATGTGTACATTTTTTTGGCACAGTGTGTGTATGTATCTATCTCAGGAAACTAGTATTCAATAGAATACAGCTGAATTCTCTAAACTAATATTTTTCATGGGGTCTTACTATAATTTGTCATACAGCTACACTTCAAAAATAGTCACATTGTATATTTAAGTATAGTAATATACGTTTGAATGAGAGGCTCAAGAGGATGACTAGGAAAAAAAGGACAAGAATTTGATGAAATGAATATTGTAAACCATATAACACATGAAGTGTTTATGAAGATTCTTAGGCCAGACTTTCCTTTGCTCACTTGTTAGCTCCCCCTTTCAAAAGAAATAGTCACCCCATATAACTAAAAAATAAAACCACCCTGTATTATATTTTACAGGACTCCATATATTGGGTTGTCAGAAAAGTCATGACGCATTTTTGCAATGAAAAACATTGGAAAACTACGTCATGCCTTTTCCGACAACCCCATACTTTCTATACTCTTATTTATTTCAGAGTGTAACATTTATTAGCTAATTTTTATACATATTGATAATACAAAAAACAGTGAATAACTCAAGTAGAATTAAATAATTGACTAAATCAATTTAGCTTAAATACTTGAATATACTCATTTTCTAACTAAGTGGAATTTTCATTGTTTTATCTCATGATTTCTCACTGGGAAGAGTTCTTTATTGCACATTTTTTCCTAGTTCAATTAAATTGTTGATGACTATTTCAACAGATGGCTTAAGTGTCAAAACTTTTATGTCAGATATAGAAGTAACTGTATAAACAGACAAAAATGGCCAGTGATTCAGCTGGTTTTAACAGATTGAGCTAACAGGTTGGTAAAGTGAGGCTAATTGTCTACATGGCTGATGTGCCGTCCCCAAACTTTATAAAACACTCCTCAAAGTAATGTTTTTTTATGTAAGAAATAACACTTTGAAAAAGTGTTTAAATTCCTACACAAAATTTTCAGGGAGAACATGGTACTAGTGAAACAATTACTCTATTGTAGAGATATCGAGAATCTTGGTTGATCACTTCATTTGGAATTAATTGCCATAAATTAACTTTTCTATTTTACTGATGTTTGCCTGGTTTCATGGACAACCTGGACAAGAACATCTGGATTCCCTGCTCAAATAATTCATTGTTAGGTTCCAACATGGCTTCCAACCGCACTTTGCCTTTCCCATGGCCAGCACCTTGGTTCAGGTTCATTTCTAATCTGGAGTGCTTGTGTCCTTGCCTGAAACATAGCCAGCAGATCTTCTTAAAATTCCAATTTGCTTGTGTTACTTATCTGATCACAGATCACATCTGATCACAATAATCACAGATCTGATCACAATAATTCAGTGATCCCAATAGCATAATGACCTAGAAAAGTAACAGGCCTTCTTTAATCAATTCTCGTTTACTGTTACAGTGGGGAATATTATTATAATTAACATTTTTCTGAATTTGGTGTCTTCAAATAATTGATTTTCCTTAAGTCTTTTACTTTATACCTCAACTGATATAACTAACAGCATTGGGGCGGGGCAGAGGAATTCCCCACTATACCAAACCTCCATGTCACTCCCATGAAAGGTTTCAAATGAAATAGTTAAAATAATTTTAAAATGTGTTGATCAAAGTGTTAGTTCTCTTTCTCTTCTTACACAGACCCTAGTCTTTTTCACTTAAATTAACTGTGGTGAGCCTGATATTCTCCTTGATACTCTTCTACATTTGCCCTTCAGCCATGCGGCCTGCAGTTTGCACAACTGAAATTAGTGTGATTCCAACAGTAGTGTTTATTAGGCATTTTATTTAGAGAACTAGAATTTCCCCCTTATGGATTAGAGATGTACTAGTAATTTTCAAACCCCATTTATCTTGTTTTTTGCATCTACTTATAGATAGATTGCTCATAGTACAGGCTGCACAAGCTTCTAGCTTGAAGCCTTCCGCTCCCGCTTTGCAGCTCCTCGTGCCATCTTGCAGCTTGTTCTCTAAGCTTCTCAAAATATCTGTGGTAAAGGGAAGTTTTTGTTTGTTTTCGTTTTACTTTTTTAAATAAATTACTTTTATTGTATTTTTTTTAAAGCTTCTATCTACGACAGATTGGAAATTAAGAGAAAAGATATACAACTATAACTCCTAATTTTTCATCATTAAATTCAACAGACATCTAATTACTTTGTCAAATTTGGCAAAAGTTTCTAATTACTCACAATTTGTTTTTTGAGTGAATTACTTAAACTTTCTAAAATGTTCTTTCTGTGTCCTGCTGGGGTGATGCTCTTTGCTACATAAAGCATACTTTTGAGCTGCTTTTCCAATGGCAAAACCTTGATTATTGCTGGAGGCAATTCACATGCTACATCTGCAGATTACCTTTGCTAAGAAAAGCGTTCCCTGCCTTTTTACCATTTTCTGCCCCAGAATGTACCCTTCCAGGCCTTTTCCACTTTGTTCATGCCTTTCCTTATAGTAGTTTCTCACTGTGTTGCTGAGAATTTTTTTCCTGATAGGATTCTGAGCCCACAAAGTGCTGGTTTTATCACTTAGTTATCTTCTATCTTCAGCTTTTAACAAACAAGGCAGCTTCTTTATAAATACAGTAATACCTTGGATTGCGAGTAATGTGGTTTGCGAGTGTTCCGCAAGATGAGCAGACATTTCTAATACATTTTTACTTGGTAAACGAGTTATGTCTTACAATATGAAGTAGTTTGTTTCCGGAATGAATTATGCCCGCAAACCACGGTATTACTGTATTTGTATATTTGTTACTTCTTGGATGGTAAATTCAAAATAGTAGTGACTGTGCAGGGAGGGGAGATATTTCAGATCCCCTGTAATCTACTAATCTTCTTTTTAAAAAGATCATTTTTTTCCTTTTCCCACTTGGGTCTTGGCGAGATTTCTGCACAGAGAACAGCATTTATCTGGCATAGCTATAGTGTAAATTTTTGAGAATTAGAAACTAGAGATTTTGTTTGAAGATTAAAACCAAGAATGCACTTCTTGATGCTTTACTTCAGTAGATTAGCAGCAGTTCTCAAACTTTTGGGTCTCGGGACCCCTTTCTACTCTTAAATTATTGAGGACCCA